TTAAACATTTTTTTAAATATTGATCAAGAAGAGTTCCCTAAATAGTTCTTGGAACAAATATATATGAATAAAAATATCGAAAGAATTTTAATTAAGACTTCAAAATATTTAAATTTAATTTTAAATATTTAACCTTAAGACTTAAAATTAAATTAAGACTTAAGGTATAATATATTAGATTTAAATATTTGTAAACCATGGATTACTTATATATATTTGCGGCTTTAAAGTTTGGGACGTCAAATGGTATCAGCACGTTTGACGTCTCAAACTTTGAAGCCGCAAATCGCACACTATTTTGTACGCATAAAATATCATATTTTAATATGACAATTTATATCCAACTTTTAGATGTCAAATGCATTTGAGTAAATCGGCGCAAAGTAATCGTGATGCGCTGATGCGCAGGAATAAATGTAGCGCGTGTGCGAGCCATAAAGATCGTCCGAACGTAGTAACTGCGGAAAATATAAATTTACCGTAAGAGAGTAACGCGCGCGTGGCGTTCCGCGCCGGCGATCGGGTGACCGCTTCCTGACCGGTGCAACGGATATTGCGTAGGTGCAACGTGCATCTATCTCGTGTCACAGCGGCAAACTTTGGAAGCTTGTCGCGCGTTAACGTGGACGAGATTTTGGCTCGTCGCCAGGGGCACATTTCTAAACCGATTAAACGATTAAATTCCCGAAACACCGCGCCGACTATATTTTTAATTTTTCATTATTTAAACAGAAGTTTTATACACGCAGTGTCACGAGATGTATGATGTATCATCGAATGCAATCATTTATACGTGTAAGTAGATTTTTTATGCCTCATTTCTTTATAAAATTTGTATAAAATATTATTATGTGTAAAGTGTTAAAAGTGAATCTATATCGAAAGTTTGAAAAATTTTCCAAAATACTTACTAGATATTACTAAATTGTTTGACTATGTATTTCTAACTTGATATTTCTAATTTGTTCTAAATTTAGTCGAAAGCTTTACGAGTTGAAAGTTTTATGAGCTACTGAACAAGTATAAATAAGGAGGGAACCTGCATTCTTCGTTCACGTAAGTTTTAAAAACATCTGGGCTACCTAAGATTTCTTTCATCATTTTTTTATAGGACTAGAATTATGAAATCTTTTATTTCACAGCATTTTCTAAAAAAAAAAATTGAATGAAAAAGCTCTCCTATCTTATTTTTATTTCTAAGGACCAAAAAATCCTTTTCAACATTTCATTTTTCGCTTAATATAATGTGAAAAATGTAGACTTCTCTATGTTTCAGTCAAATATTAAGAACTTGTGCGTGATTTGGTCAAAATCATAATGAATTCAGGTAGCAAGCTGGCGTTATTTGCTGTCATTTAGACGTAAAAATGATGAATTTTTGGCCGCATTTTGAAAAAGAACGACAAATAACGTAGACTCACGCTACCTGGAAAGTTAAGTCCTATAGTGTTTCTTCGTAAACGTTTCAATATCCTGAGATAAAAGGTAAATCTCGCGGATATCGAAGTATTCCAATTCGCCAATGGTATCGCGTGTCTACGAACGACATGTATTGGAAACAATTTGGCGATGGAGCACGCGCTTTTAGCGATAAATAAAGGCGGCCAGCCGTTTCCTCTCGCTCGATGCTCTCCAGCAGCGGGAATTCGTAAATGTTTCAGCCGCATGCTAAAATAAAGCTGGGCTGAGAGTGCGTCAGCACGTAGCGAAGCTCGCCCACGAGAATCATGGAATTTTATACACAAGATCGATTTATACGCGAGCCCTCCTGATCAAAATTGCTCTTCTCAAGTGTCAATCTACACTCCCCGATATTTAACTCTCTCTCTCTTTTCATCTCCTTTCATTAGATTATTCAAATTTCTAAGTTCAAATTCCATTTCGATAATAAGACAAATATCACGCATTAAAATTTTTCAAATATAATATGTATATACATATATTATACACACCTATATAACTGCCTACTTTATACACGTGTATATATATATATATATATATACATATATTTGAAAAATTTTAATGCATGATATTTGTCTTATTATCGAAATGGGTTTTGAACTTAGAAATTTGAATCTAATGAAAAGGGATGGAAAGAGAGAGAGAGAGAGAGAAAGAATTAAATAATATAATCGGAGAGTGTAGATTGATACTTGAGAAGAGCAATTTTGATCTACAGTTCTTTCGAAAACGATTTATCATGATGTAACGTGATTGTAAATTTGATAGTTTAATTGTTGCCTATTTTATATCATTAGAAGAACAGATTTTTAGAAATAAATAATTTAATTTTTCGTTTTTTTTTTTTGTTTAGTTCAGCATTGTTCAAAATATGTAATTGTGAGCATTGGCAATGGATGTATCGATGGTCATGTCTATTGTATTCCTTCTTTTTAGTGAAGGTAGAAAAAAAAGATAATAGGCGTGAAAGCCGACACATGTTTAAGTCAGTGCCCAGAATTACAAATTTTGGGGACAGCACTGGTTTAGATATATTTTATTCTATTTAAATCCATAATAAAATTAAACAAAAAGAAAAAAAAATAAAAAATATTAACAATATTTTGTATTTGTTTTTTCTTTGTCAACAATATTAAAATTAAAAAAAAGAACCTATACATGTATGTAGGTTCTTTTTTTTAATTTCAATATCTCTAGAGAGATTAATGCGGTAGGATTTAATTATGTATTTATAATAGAAATCGCATTTTTTTTTATTACGCACGAACATTTGTACGGAATTATCTTTATAGTTTAATAATATAATTAAATACACTACAGATCACACTAAACGAAGGCTGCTGTAGAGCAGACCAAAAATGATTTTGGGTCTTAATCCGGTAGTAAAAATTACAAAAGTGAGCAAATTTACTGGCTGACCAGTGAAATTATAAATATTCTAGTAAATTTGTTCATTTTTGGTAACTTTTATTCCAAATTATTTTATTCCAATTTCCAAAAGCGGTAAAAGACCTCCTGGAGAAAAACAATTCTGAAGGAAACGGTGTGAAAGAATGAGAAAGTTGTGGAACGAATTGAAGATTTTAAGTAATAAACGACAGGATTCAATAAACGCTTTGTCTGTCAAAATGATAATAAATATATTATATATAAATAAAATAGGCACAAACAAGAGCAATATTTCAAAATCTTATTTCTGATCATAATTCCGGACAATGCAAACACTGAGAAAATTAATAGTTGTAATAAATCATACAGAAATATCTCTTTCAAGCAAAAAAATTTTGGAGACTCGGGAAGATAAAAATTTAGAAAATAAAATCTATTCCATCTGTGACTACCTAAGGCTTCTGAATTTTCCTTTCTTTTCAATGATTTTTGTAGACTACAAATTATTAAATCTCTTCCTTTTTAACCGTTTTCGAAATAGTTATATAGAGAGCATATTGCAAATTATTTCTATTTGTATTGAAAAATATAATAAATTAAATTGAACAAAACGTCGAGATATAAATAATTCCAACGATTTTTGCATAGATTCAGGATTAATTAATTTCTTTTTAGCATTTTTCGGAAAGATTAAATGGAAAAAAGTTATTATTTCTAATGAAAAAAATTGAATGGTGGTATAAATAATTCCAGTGGTTTTGTAAGTTCAAAATTATTAAATCTTTCTCTCTTTTTAGCTATCAAATTTTTTGAAAAGGTTAAACGAAATTAAGGATCTCGCAAGTTATTTTTATCATTGACATAAAAAATACAACAAATCAAATAATTGTTAAACGAAATAGATACAAATAATTTCCTCATGAAAAAAATCAAGTAATCATGATAAAAGTTTATGCAATTTTTTGTTAAAAATAAAATACAGAAAAGAATAATTGTCAAGTCGAAATTCAAGTCACTGTGCATTATATATAATGCTGCAAATTGTTGCAACAAAAATAATTCATAGGAGCGTGTAAATCGAAAATCATACAAAATATAATTCGTAATTATTTTATATTAGAAAAGGAAGTTTACGCGTAAAGTTTACGCGATAATGTTTCATTTCAAAATTTAATCGCATCTCATCAGAAGTCTCTCGCGTTCTTTCGCGAATTTTAATTCTAACGCAACACGTGTCTCGCGTCGCGAATCTCGCTCATGGTAACACGCTTGTTGCAACAATCGATTCAATCGGAACGTACCCGATTTGTATCTCTGCCATTCGCTTTCGTTATCCCGATGGAAAGTCTCGGCGGAAAAGAACGGAGAACTCTTCTGGATTTTCCAAAGATCCAAATTAAGATTTTCTCGAGCGAGAGAGGGAACAATTAACCTATTTGACTACGCTACGATTGACAACGACAACGCACAGCGACTTGGAACTTTTCCACTGGAGTCTGGACCGACCAGTCAAAAGCTCCCGTGTTGACTTGGCCAATTAGCGACGCGGGCAATCTGGCGCCCGCGCCGCTCGCGGCGACACTGTCTCGAGAGAGCGCGGCGGCGCCCTCTGGATCGCCTTCTTCCACGGATAGTCGCCGTTGATCGGGTTGATCCTCGGTCCCGCGCAGTAGCGGTGTTTATTTACGTTAGCCATCGCGACGTCGGACCGATTGATTCGCGGATCTGCGGCGTAGCCGAGTGCCACGGGATCCTCCGACGCGGGATCCGTCGCTTTCTCTCACGTCGACACGACGGCGCCGTTCGCCTAGTGGTGGTCGCGTACTGTTAACCGAGAGAGGACCGAACTGTCGAGGACCTGTGTGTGTGCGAGAAGGTGCAGGAGAGAACAAGGTGGAAGCAGCGGAGGCGGAATCGCGCCGCGTCGGGCGGCCGCCAAGTGGATCTGTCACCCACGTACGCGCGCCCATCGCGCGGCGGTGTTGCACCGTGTGTCGTCATCGTCGTCGGCTGGCGGCGGCGGCGGCTGCGGCTGCTCTTAACCTAGCCGAGAGACGACCCGAGTTGCGCCCGCAGTTTCTGGTGCCGCGCGCGCGTACGGCGCGCCCCGATGCTGCGCCACCGCTGACGGGTGGCAGCCCGCGGCGAGTATGGGCGACGAGGACGACGTGCTGCCGGCGCGTCTGCAGAGGCTCGAGATCGACCGTCGCTCGACGAGTTGTCCCCAGTAAGCGTCGTATTTCTCTCGGCTACACGTAGTGAAACGCAGAGGCGTCGCTCCAGCGTCGTAGACGCCCAGAAGGGACGCGCTCGTCCAAGGTCGAGGACGATCCTCGCGCCCGTGTCCTCCCCCACCCCCCGCGAGCGTCCGTGCGGCGCGCGTCGACGGGGATTTAACTTTTAAAAGAGTGCCCTCGGCGCACGTGTCGCAGGATTTTGAGCGCGATGTTGTTATCGGATCGATTTGTAGAGCGTGTCCCTTCGTGACGTCGCGCTGCGAAACGAATTGATGATTCTGGGATACCTGCGACCGATGCAAAAGCGTCTGTGATGTGTTTTGACAGCGATTCCATGATTACTGCAGTCTCACCGTGACTCGTGACAATTGTGTCCCGCACGAAAATACGTCAAATTTTTTGTCTAACGTTAGAGCAGTACCACTACGAGATCTGTATCTCAGATAAATATCATTGAGAGAATTGACTGAGAATATTTTAGATAAGATAGCAATATAGTTGCAGACTTAGCTGAACTTATTGTTGGTGAATAGTCAGGCGCAACAGTCAAACTTAATTCAATTCAATTTTGTAAAAATTTAAGGATGTTAGCACAACGAAGTTAATGTTGCTCGAGGAATTACTTGAGATTTGTTTAGTATTAAACAGTGTTACAGCGCGATGTAGATTGAAAGTTGTCGATGGATACTTAACTCCCTATCTAAGATTTGCTCAGCGCTGTTTACTTTCTGCTGAAGTCACAGATGTTTGGCTGTAAGGATGTAGGTTGCAACAGTGTCAGTCACCGATGAACAACGAAGATTGATTTGTCAGCTGTCGCTACGCCTGGCAGTCCGAGCTCTTCTTTGTCAATCGTCGTATCTCCCGTTGGCCAATCGAGCTATCGAAACTGCTCCGCGGCTGTATATTTTTCGTAATCGCGGTCAAGGTCGGCCAGCAGCGCGACGTAATATATACACATATATTGTATTTACAATGCGCGCGTTTCGTCGTCCGTCCAGAAATCCGTCGATTGCGCGATCGGATCCTCGACTCGTTGCCGGATGAGGTCGAGCCGAGTGAAGTTCGGCTCGATTCCATCGGGAGAAGCATTTAGACGCTCTATTTTTAAACCTGTAGACACCGTGATGCCGGAAATAACGACTTAGTAGCGTCGATAGTAGACTCGGGAGAGAGATAGATCGATGAAGGGTACGCAGCATTGGAAAATTATGAAACGGATTCTTCGAGAGGCTTGCGGATGTAGTTACTACCGAACTGCAGTCAGGGCGGCGATTGGATAGAATTGCACGTGTTCACGGAAGTTCCCTGCTTGTGTAATATTGTACAGCTTTCATTTCCTAATTTTTATTATAGTAACATTATACCTTAAAATATTCTATGCGTCATATGCGTCGCAAATATATTCGAAGGGAAGAATTGTTTAGAAGACAAAAACATTTACAGACGTTTTAGCGCATTTTGTATCTCTACGTGGCACACAATCACTTCTTAACAAAGTGACTTTTTTGTTCCTTGCAGCATTGCAATGGCAGACAAGTCGAAGCCGATGAATCTATTCAGGATATTCGGCGCGAGCTCCGACAGCAACTGTTTATTCCGAAGAAGATCCATGCCCAACAGGCCTACCATGTTCCCAGTTAATCCGAGGGGCATCAAGAGTACAACGAATTTCAAGCCGTCTAAGAACGAGAGAACGGTCGAGAAGACCAAGAGGAGCACCATCCTGAGGGACGCGATTCTAAAGTTGAGCGCCCCCGGCACCAGCGGTCCTAGTGATAACCCAGTGGACGCGCTGTTCAAGGACACGTGTAAGCTCAGTATTCCCAGTAAAAATTCCAAGATCATCGACCACAACTCGGTCATGAAGGACTTCAAGGCGCTGAAGATCAGCAAAGACAATAGGCAGGTCAAGGACGACACTAGTATTCAGGATGACGATTGCGAGGGCGCGGGCGGCTACCACCGTGCCCGCAGTAACACGATGCCGAACTTGAAGCGGGGCCCCGGCCCGGGCGGCGGTGGCGGCGGCGGCAGTGGTGGTGGCGGTGACCAGCGCGCGACGACGGCGGCGGCGGGCAGCAGCGGGTTGCAGTCGGAGGCCAGCGGCGGCTCAGCCGGCCAGCAACAATTGTCGAGCTCGCCCAACACCTGTTCGGTACAGGCGCGAATATCGCCGCCCTTGTCGAGCGACATCACGATCGGCGAACTCGCCGGCTACTTCGAGGAGTTCGTACATATTCCAAAGAAGATGTCGCACATGGCGGAGATGATGTACACTTAATAATTGTAAAGTATCTCGAATTATGCATACACCGCGGATGCAGACCCTTCTTTTTTCTTTTTACACACAGTTCGAGGCTGCGTGTAACACCTCACTCTCTACATACACCCTGCATCTCCCCCTCGTTTACGCTACGTTCTAATTTAATCTCCTAAATTATTTTTTTAACATACCTGATGACATACCGGCAAACAAAAAAAACCCCGTTTACTCTCGCTGTAATTGTGTATAGTTCCGAAATTGTTGAGCTATTTTGTATAAACTTTCGGAAGAGTGTAGCGAGATACCGAGACGTTACTTTCCTTCGCATTATTTTCTTTTTGTTTTCTTTTTTTTCACATCATCTTGCGCACGATATTTGGTTTCTTTAGTGTATAAAAGGGAAAATGGAAATATTATATTACCTGTATTTAAAAAAGAAAACTTTTGTATTACGAGAGAAGAATAATTGGTTTTAGAATAAATTGTATGAATTGAAATCGGAGTATAAATGCACCCACACAATCGCTATAGGTATTTCTAATACGTGCATTTGCGTGCACTTTCGCCTCACCTTGCCATTTGTTGTTTAACGAAGAAATTACAATCTCCTGAACAACGAAATTCCTTGATACACGGGGCGCCAATGAAGGTTTCGACATTAATATGATACATAATATATTTATCTGCATAGGCTTACGACAATTAATATAATAACACAAAGTAATCGTTAAGTTACTTAATGATAATAAGCTTTGGTATATAAACAATGACAACAATGTACTGATCGTTTTCGCTTTAGGTACAATACGAATGAGAAACGTACGTCGACGCGCGGTGAATGTACGGTGATGAAGAAAAAACTCGAACGTAAAGAAAGCCGGGCGTACGAGAAAATATATATTTTTTTTGGTGTGCGCATCACACGTGAGACGAACTCCGTTCCTGTAAACGGTTATATCGATACGATAATCGTGGATAATCGTCGTCCTCCTTTGGTGGCACGCGGTAACTCTCGCGGTGTTCGGCCGCGAGACGACAGTGTCGATCTTTTGTATCAAAACGCGTCAAAGAGAAAGAGAGAGATAGAGAAAGAGCAGTCCCTATATCACAGATTTACCGAAAATTTTCATTTGAACGGGGAACAGGGGGGGGGGAGGGGCGGACCACGCGAACGCTGTCTCCGAAGAAGGTGTCGCGAAATCCACGATTAATTTAAGAGCATAATTTTCATTTAAGTACAATATGCGTATACCGCTGATCTCGCCCTTTCTTAGGTCTCACCGTATAATTTAAACATCGCAAACATTTGCAAATAAAGAACGCGGGAACAATACGTCCGAGGTGTTTCCCCCCCGAGGTAAATCCCGGGGCGCATAATATCGTTACTATCAATCGCATGAGAATTAAATTACATAGACGATCACACTAGAGATTTGAAAGGTATACTCATTCGCGAATTAGTGAAATTTACGACTCATTCAGAGAATACGTCTTCCTATATGAACAATTTCGATGTTCGATCACTCGAGATATTGTTATGTACAATTGTGTGCGATCGATGAAGGATAACAGTTGTACAGCTACTCGTCGGATTTAGAGAGAAAAAATATTTCACTTCGGAGATTTTGCAAAAACGGTCGGACGTAAAATTCCCGATAGCACGTGGGCTTTATTTAAACAATATCAGTCTCTATATCCAGTGGAAAAAGGCCACGACGCCTTTACCATAATAATTTGTAAATACATGGTCCAAATGTGATCCGAATGAAACAGTCTACGCGAATATATATACCATATAACGCGAACGCTTCGGGTCGCTCGAAATCGTCGCTTTCTTTTCGAACACGAAAGCCCGAAAGGGCATCCAAAGCACGTCCGAAGGGCGTTTCTTCTAACTATCCAGCAAACGCCTTTCGGACATCCTTTACGGCGTTGGGACATTTCTGTTCTGTTCTAGATCGTTTCCTGTTGAGCTCGCGTCAGTTCAAATCCTCTATGTCTTCTTTTTAAATCTACGACCTACGGTAGCGATCATGATTCATTATCATCATCAGCGAAATTTCCAAGTGATCGTTTATCATGAGAAAACAAGTTTATCATCGGTATAAAACGCTCATAGAAAAAATGTACTTGGACGTAATACACCTACTCTCTAAACGCTACGTAAACGTGAACGCCTTTTCACGCGCACTCTTCCATGCGATGTCACTATAATTTTATTGGAAATATGCTACGTTTACCATGTAAACATCGCGGTTGAGGATTTCTCTTACGGTTTCTAGGATCATCATAAAATAAGGACTGCCGCAACATCAAAGTCTATCCAAACAACGTAGGTGTCCCAGAGATGTTACAAAGAGACTAATTTAAAAAGAAAGTTAAAACATCTTCCAGATATTTGCGTATCATAATAGCTAGATGCAAATGTGAACAATACATTTTACGAATTGTTATAATTTACTCACAAAAACAGGCGTCTGGAAAATCCTATTCGATATCTCTTTGACATTTATTTTAGATGCTTTTATCGTTTAGATTTCTTTGATTATATCACAATTATTCCGTTATTTCCACAATACTAGATCATGGCTGATAATTTAATATTAGATATTAGAAACAATCATTAATATGATCATTAATTTCTTATTTCACTTTTTAAATAAGATGTCTAATACTAGAGATCACTTCTTCTGTTACGTTTCTTACGTGAAGATACGAAATTGATATTGCAGCAACGTTTAAACTTATCGTACAATAAATCGGCGTACGTGGGCTTACCGCGTTATTGCTCGTAATTCTCTCTCGTTTAGTCGCAGTAAGATACACATGAAAAGAGGATCACGCTGACACGGATGTAACAATTTTCTACGCTCGCATGCGCGCAACGCACTCACATTTTGTTTTCACTTTAATCACTAATATCTATCGTATCGTAATGGCTCATCGCGTTTATCGTGACACAGTAAAATGTATACATTCAAGATCGATTGCACCCACAGCTTTTGCCAGCCGAGTCTGGCTAATTTTTTTATCTCTTTGCAAATCAGTTTCTGCTACGATGCTAGGAAGAGATAGGAGAGGAGAAATCGATTAACATATTTATAATATACCACGAGTAAACCTGGTGCAGATCCCTGCGTTTTAGATCTCATAATATATCTAACAGATCTAACAGTATTTTTTTTTTGTCTTTGGTCATCTCACTTCAATTAGCAGTTAAACGGTTCTTTTTGCACCGTTACTTTAACCATAACGTAGATAAAGGAACAAATGCATCGTCACTGTCAACCCGACTGTGATGCAATCAACACAGATTGCTTGACTCAGCTGATTGCAACAACGATCAAGGTTGAGTAATTCCAGTTAACTAGAATCGCCATCCTTTTCAGATTACAGATCGAGTCTATCCACAATGTGGCTCGAGAAGCAAAGATGGCAATACCAATTAAGATTTTTATACTAAGGCTTTAATTCGTCCACCAAGCACTGACATACCATAGTGCTTGATGCAATAAAACATCTCGGGATCTTTCTGTTATGACACTCATTCAACAGTCTGTTTTATACACTTCTACGTTTCTCATCTTTACCTTTCGTAAAATGATCGTTAATCGTTGATCGATTAAAATTAAGGAGTAATTCAGAAAGAAATGTGACGTTATAAAATACCAGAGCTGGCTTTAACCGACGTCGGTGCAATCGACTCAATCTCGGGTCTCGCGCGCGTAATGTGCCTCGCGGGGACGACGTTGATCCTGGGAGAATATCGCAGGCGAGAATATCATTTTCGATTCGCGACACCGCGAGGAGAGCAAAGTGTCCGCCGACGAGACTGTCACGCTTATCGTCTAAGTAATCCCTATTCTAAATCCGTCGTTTGTATTTTCCTCTTTCTCGCCTCTTTAAGTAGAAAATTTACAATTTTTCAGACACTTTGTACGAGTAACATCGATGACTTAAGTTGATCCGAAAATGCATTTCCGATTCACCCCGACGGTGAAGCCCGTCGTGTCGGTTTCACATCACGGACACGGGTTTCGGGATATCATTTTCTTTTTTCTTTTTTGCTCTCAAACGCACTCTCACGCATTCGCACTTATCCGGATATTAGTAACTTTCTCGCCTCTCTCTCTCGTCTATCCTAATTTTTATACCCTTCTTTTTTTCTCTCTTCAACAAGACCAATGAATACTTCGCGAAAGAGCGTCGTAATTCAACGTACACAGCGACTGCCGAAAAATGAAGGATAACAAAAAATTTGTGCGAGGTATTCGCTACGCTTTCGCAGGATATTCAAATCGGACGCACCATCCATGCGTACTTAAAACAACTTACACGCGTGAAAAAACGCAGCTATTAAATGCATCGGTGTGTTGCGTTAAAAAAGAACTATAAAAAAGAAGATCGATATAGAAAGCGGATCTACAATCGTAAATACAATCAGATCTGTTTTTGGCAGACACGTTTGGCTGTGTGCACACTCGAGTTTTCGTCCCATCGAGAATCGTTCACGGCGAATAAGTAAACAAGTTATTATCGAAAGTCATTCTCGTGAGATAAAACTCTCGACTGTGAGCACCGAGATTTTTCTTCAAAGTCCAAGTAAATGCATCTCATTGCCGATTTACATGCGTTTTACAACCGAAATGAATAGCAATAACAGGCTAAGCGCACGTAAACTCACACGTATGATCCTCAATACTTGAGAGTAATGAACCGTCGAACGTTAATATCGTCCGGAAAATAAGCTTCACGCGGATTGTGCGCAGTAACCGTTCCATTTACGAGATTCATTTCTCATCCCGAGCTTCCTCTCGGCGGACAAATTACACGCGAGAAATCTAATTCCCCCCTTCCCATCTAATTTCACATACGTTCAGCCCTCGCCCTTGAAAAAATCACGCGCTCATAATAGCGATTTCGTCACAAACGGTACGTATGAAAATCTGCCTCGAGGACTACGTATCCAAAAAGCTGGACTTTAGGAAAAATTCGGATGTATAACCGTGATCCGAGATCAATAAAATATAAATACACCATGCTCTTGTCTGACAAGTCACAAGTTTCACAATACGCAAACACACACACGCACACTTGTTCGCATTCTCTCTTTTTCGCTCTATATATATATATATATTTCTCGTAATCATACGCTAACATACTAATATACGATGTATTATGTTGTAATCTATAATTCCGCATTTTACTCCCAAACTTATATCACGTTACTCCCTAATAATCGTGACTTGTATCTAAATTTACCGACATTGCTAGCGTCTTTATTGTGGTTGCTCCTCGTCAAAAGTACGAAAACGCGTTTAAGTTAGTCGCGAAATTTTTATCGGCGGATAAAAATGACTCGCCGGTGCCCCTGGCGGTCCTAATATCGCAGTCGTCTTTTCTCGTTTCCGATTCTAAACATTAAGATTAACGCCTGATTGGTCATGAAGATTAGAATCTTGTCAATTCGTTCTTGCGAACGGTACTTACAAAAAACACCATGGCACACTCAACTTCCAATCCGTTTTTTTTTTTTAGTGCTTAACGCTAAGGACATATAAGGACACGTAAGGGAGAGAAAAGGAGAAAAGAGAGATGAGAGATGAAATTTTTCGGCAGCATTTGACAGTGATGGTTCGATAAGTTCGCGGCAGTGCGTCTCGTGAAGATTGGTCGCCAGAAATCTTAGTAGAAAAATTTCGCAGTTGAAAAAAAAATTGCCACTCGCGACAACGGTGTAGAGTATCAGCGAGGACGCGTGTGTGTTCTCTTCCACTAGAAGTGTTTTCTCTCCATGAGAACGGCGCACCCAGTCCGCGAAGGTTCCGATGAGGGCGGCGTGTGATACATGCTAAATAATAATTTACTTAGCAGTAAATACCATAAAATTCCATGGCACAATTGATGTGGGCTGGGTGAAAATGACCGTGCGGCGGCAGATGATGATTTTGCATATATTGATGGGCTGTATATCAGTCCGTCGGCGGTTCGAGATACGGTATTTCGCTAGTGACGTTGAACGACTCGAAATAGTGATTCAGGAACTCGAACGTGGGCCGCTTCTCGGGGCTAGCGTCCCAGCACTGCAGCATCAGTCGGTAGATGCTGTCGGGCAGCGGATGGTTCAACGGCTTCGGCATGCGGTAACCCTTGTCCACTTGCTCGATCACTTCACGGCCGTGCATACCTGAAAAAAAAATTATGTTATGCAGACAATAAAATACACGCTTAAAATATCTATGTGATGAACTGAGAAAAAAAAATATATATATGAATATTACAAGTTAAGGAACAATAAAAACTTACCAGGATAAGGAACTTGTCCGTAAGTGAAGAGCTCCATTAGCAGGATTCCGTAGGACCAGACGTCACTCTTGATGCTGAACCTGCCGTAGACGATGGCCTCCGGCGCGGTCCACTTGACAGGGAACCTGCTGCCCTGCTTCGGACAATACTCGTCGTCCTCGATCACCCTGGCGAGACCGAAGTCGCAGATCTTCGCCTTGTTCTTCTCGCCGATCAGCACGTTCCTCGCCGCGAGATCTCTGTGTATCAGCTGCTTGCTCTCGAGGTATTCCATACCGGAGGCCACTTGGGCCGCGATGTAAATTAGATCCTCAAACTGCATGTACTTGCCGTCTCCCTTTCGCAGAAAGTCCAACAGGCTGCCGTTACACATGTACTCCTGCACAATGTAGATGGGCTCCTCTTTCGAGCAGACCGCGTATAACGCGACCAGATGCCTGTGTCGGAATTGCTTCATTATGGCTGCCTCCTGCAGAAACGCCTCGGTCGACATGGTCCCTGGACGCAGCGTCTTTACCGCCACCTCGATTTTGTTTCGCCACTTGCCGTAATAAACTTTGCCGAAATTGCCGTTGCCCAGTTCCGAGATCAGCTGTATCTCGTTCCTGTTGATCTCCCACTTGTCGCGCAACTCAGGCCCGAGATCCCACATGTCCGGTTGCGGTTTCGGACAGGGCTTCGAGAGCACGTGACAGAGACCCAATGCATTTTCTAAATAATAGAAATGCCGTCAAAGATGCATACCGTTCAGCATAGACGTCTTGTCTTTGCTTTTATTTTCAAAAAACATAGAGAATTTTTATTAATTCAAAAATAATGAGAATAAAATATAAATATCTGCATGATATTAATGCAAACATATTGCTTCACAAATGTTAAGTATATTATTTGATATGCAATTGCAAGTAAATTCAAAGCTTACTGCTGTATGCCATAACCAGAGCCGGTAAACTGGAGAACGTTTGATTGGTGGCGATAAAGAAGCCGCCATTGTCGAGCGGCTTAATCTTGTAGTGTTTCACATGATGGCCCCTTCCTTCCTCCCAATCCTTGACCGACAAGCTGTAACCCCGCGGATTGTGCTCGCTCGGCCTCACCAAGAACGTACCGCGAGGATTCTCGTCGACCAGCAGCAGCTTACCCGCCTCCTTACGCGACACATTTTCGAAGAACCAACTGCGAAGAGCGCGATATTATAGGTACACGATATCGTATCGAGAGAGACGCGACGGAAGAGGACCAACGAGGAAGAATAGAAGATAAATGCTCACTCTTCGCTCTCGACCGACCGCTCGACAGCTACGAAGTTCCAAGGGATCAGGCCTTCCTGCAGAGTCGTTAAGTGCAGCACTCTCCACCAGTCAGGCTCGGAATCGTCGAGGACCTCCATTCGGTCGCCTTTCATGAAACTAACGTCGGTGCTTTCTCGCGCCGTGTAATTGTACAGTGCCACCACGATCTTGTTGGATCTCTGTGAGTGCGCTGCATCGAGAAAGAAACAGAGTACAGCTCGTCAAATTGTCCTCCGAGCGAGAGAGAAATCGAGGAGAACCCGAACCGGTTAGAGGCGATTTAACTTCAAAAGAACTTTACTTTTAACTTTAAAACTTGGTACGAATCAAATTGACTAAAGGGCTTCTGCTAATTATTTTATACAAAAGGCGGTAACGATTGGTGATATATATAATATCTCGATTTGCGCAATTGCATTAAATTTATAAGTTATCTTGTATTAAAAAATATAACTTTGAACAATTTCATGCGTTTACTATAAATGTGGAAGCATAAATTTGATGACTTTATTTTGTGTAATCAAGAATATGGAGATCTCTTTTTATCAAGGAGTGATTCGATGAAAATTAAACCGGTTCGGACGACATCAGGAACATTTAAAACAGGACTATGAAGCAACAAGGCTACTAAACGCTAAGCGGTTTCATAATAAAACGTAACATTGGGTTACTTGCGAGACAAGATTCTATCTTGGTCCGGACTTGGTCGTTCTACGGAAGCAAAAGAAGAGTAACATAAAAATACACACATGCAGACTTAACAGGCGGATTCGTTTTACGGGGTTGCTGATGCGGTATCTGTAGCTTACAGGGTGTCGGCCTCGGTCGGATAATATCCGCCCGAGCTTGCACGCCTCTCTGATTTGGGTCGGCGGTGTATCGGTCCAAGGAACCTCCATTGCTGTGCTTTGAGCTGAGTCCCGTGTCTGCTTTCTTATAGCCTGAATAGAGAGAAAAATCCGTCTCTCATCAAGGAAGATCAATCCGATGAGAAGTATATATCTTTTATCTAAGTACTACGAGAATTTTATAGTAAAACTTGGCTTTTATGTCCCGCTCGAGACGAGATCGTCATTCTTGTTGCGAAACTTCGTCGCGGAAAACCAGAATCAACGCGAACGTTTTTTTTGTTTTATTTAATTTAAATCAGTTACCATTCTATAGCATAACTACTCGTGTATTACTGCATTCAAGCACTCAATCGAACTTACATAAAAAGCGAGACGGATTTTTTTTAGTTCCTCGAAAAATTAAAGAGAGAGATCGGATCTATTCGATTGAATAATTACAGAGATGAAAAAGGGATACTTTAATTTCTCATCTTCTACTGGTGACTTTGACGCAATCATACATATCGCCATTGTTATCAATTATTACAGTGATGAAGCGATAATTACTTCTACGGTACGGTGCGTGTAATCGATCGCAGAATTCGACTCACCGATCGGTTGAGACTCTTGCCGTTTGCTGCAACACTTCCCCATGCTGGAATCTCTCGAGGCTCCTGGTCTAACCTCTGCGCGGGAGTCCTACGCACCCTCTATCCTGGACACATTCGCGGGGCAAACCTCCATCGTCCCGTTGAAAACCTCGGTTGGCCCGGATGGCCGGCGATCGAACCGGCGACGAGAGAAAGAGAGAGGTATATATCGCTACAAACTCTCAGAGTCCTCTCGTCCGTCCGCCCATCGCCGGATTATCGGACTCGCCGCTCCTGCAACATAAGGCAGACGAGATCTGTCATGATTCCGACCGAGGATTATTATCGCGACAATGGTCGCAGGATGCAGCGTCACGACGAAGGCCTACGAATTGCAGTCATTTGACAACGGGAAGTTGCTATGCTCCGATGAAGTCGGTGACGCGATTGCGAAGTCATCGCGAGGGCAGTGATTAACTACGGTGTCAGCGACCACATCGTCGCGATTATTATTATTTTTATTATTTCTTACTGTTATTACTCTCCGATTATTCAGCCGGTGATCGAGCCAATCATCACAATTCTCCAAATAGAATAGAAGTCTTCTGGAGAACGTTTGGAATTATTATAGGATGCCTACATGTATATATAACAGTTTTTTTTTTTCAATATTCATAAAAATTTCCAAATTGACATTGATTAAGTTTGTATATTAAACAATTTAGCGTGTAACAATGTACAACAACTACACTCTCTAAAAGTGAATCAGTGCAAAATCATCACTGATTTTCAGCGTATATCATTTTCCAGTGGCAAACTTAATGGTAACTATTCCAATGTTATTTCTCTCTCTCTCTCTCTCTCAGTGATAAGTATACTTAAATATACTGATTCAAACAATGAATATCACTGAAAGACAGTGAGTTTCACTGTCAAACAGTTTTTGACTAAAATTCATTATTTTTCAGTAATATTCACTGTTTGTCAGAATATTATCACTGAAATAACACGAAATAGGCACTGTTTATCATAGTTCTAAGTATGTCATTAAAAAATGATATAAATGAAAATCAGTGATGACTTCACTGATTCATTTTTAGGGAGCACTGTTATCTCGAGATGAGGCAAAACTGCGGAGCCATGAGACAACAAAGGGACGAGCGAGCGCCCGTTGTAAAAATCAAAGTCCGCGGAAGCTCGCGAGCCGATTTTACTTAGCGGCATACCGCCGCTGCTCCGATCGAGGGAAAATATTCATACAAAAAGGAGAAACCAATAACTACGAGGCTGCCGTGCCGAATGCCAAGCCGGCTACCAGCGTAGAAGGGCCGAAATGCCCTTCCGATTATCTCCATATCATTAAATAGAACGAACAGTCTCACCCTCACCAGCGGCACACCCGGACTTTTTTTAATTAAACAGCTGAACGAGAAGGAAAGGGAAAAAGGGGAAAGGGCCGGATTTTCGAGCAGGGAGATACGTATACGGAATATCCGTTGACGGGCGAATGAATGATACATTTGACGATATATCTGAAATCGGAAAGTATGAAATTTTCTCTTTGAAAAGATCAGTCGAGATGTACATAAATAACTTCTTGAGTTTTCAAACGGAATTTAAAAATACAGCTGTCAGTCACAAATATAGACAAATATTTTTGCCTAGAGGATTAAATACGCGGATTCGTCGAAATCGTATTGAATTCGACTATTTTTGAAATGCTAATTCAAAAAATAGGATTGCGGGTGAATTGCGCTTTTTGACTGCAAATGGATAACAAATCTATTTTTATATCTTTGGCCGGTATTCATATAATCGGTATTCTTATATTTAAGATCTTAAATATAGTCTTAAGGTGTCATAAGTTACAGAGCTATGTTAGCATTTTACTCTCTAAATTTTCTGGAGTGAATCTCACTCCAAAAGATTGAAAACTCACTCCAGAAAATTTAGAGAATAAGGTATTACTTAAGGTCTTGAAAAAAGAACAGAATATGAATATCGACTATGTATTTAGAATATGTTTATCTCTGAAATAATATCTTCGAAATTCGAAATGAACAATGCTCAGCGTAAAGGTTTTAGAATCTACAGAAAAAAATATGGGCAGTGCAATTAAATTTGAATGTAGGGAAGAAATCATTTCAGTTCAACAGGCAACGTGATCGTCCCGATTAACGAACGCGCCTTTTACACGAGCATCCCGTGTGCACGGGTTTAAGAAACAATTGTCCGGAATCGATTTGGATGTGGGTCGGTCCAACCCCTGCAGTGCCGAACGAAAGCATGGCATACGACTACCATGGCATACGGGCTACCGGAGAGTCTCCCGTTCGATCGGCACAGCCCGACTACGGCTATAGGACAACTCGAGCACACCATCCCTGGTCCCCCTGTGTCCGTGTGCACGTGTATACGTCTATGCAACGGGGTAATACATGGGTAGCGAAACGGTCGATATCCTCCACAACTTGTATTCCTATACACTACGTCACACTCGCCATCCGGTATGGAGCTTTTACGTGGCGAACAATGCGCTACCGTGGACAAAGACGTATTAAGCGTTAGCGTCAGGACGAAACGTCCTGATTGTGCCGTCGTCGGTAGAAAACTGTTAGGTCTCGTGACAGATCGGAAAATAGGACCGGCTTAATTTGGATATTTACGAAAACTTGATTTTAAGTTCGCGAACTTCGGCGTCAAGAGCCAAGATCGAGCGAATGTTTCGCTTGTGATCTGAAAAAAAGATAACATTTTTCGAAATAAATTTTTCCTTAATATAGATTCCTAATATAATCGAAATTCTTAGGATACAAACTTTAGACAGATTTAATTAAAGACTTAATTATTATCGATATATTTAAAATCTGGAATTTTTATTGACAATATAAGGTCTATATTTCTTTATATGATAAATTATAAATTAATTGAAGAACCCCTTGACGTAGAATGCGAATTTGGGAGCTCATCAGTACACATAATTTTTATACAACAAAAATAATAAAAGGATTACATCTACGCAAAATTACACCGAGAAAAAAAAATGACTGCAATTACCATAACTGTATAATGTATAATCATTTTCGGTGCCAACTATATATTTGTTTGGTAGAGATATAAATATAATTTATAGCAATAATAACTATGAAAATGTGTGTGGACTCCTATATCATAATTATTTTACGATTATAAATAATTACAAATACCAAATATTTTTTTCGCAGTGCAGAATAAATGTGAAGAATGTAAGCTTGTGAAATATATAAGATATGAAATATACAAGATAGAATAAGAGAGAGAAAGAGATCCTATATCATATTTCGATAAAAATTATCTTCCCTATTACTTCTATATTAAATTACGTAAGTTCGTAATTTGAAATTATATCAAATTTAAACAAAAATATCCTACTAAAGCATTTTTAATTATTATTCACTTAACTATTATTAAGCAATTCTTAATAAATTGACAAGATAAAATATATTATAATACTCTCAATAAAGTTTGATCTTATTTTATTCAATAAAAGAGACAATCCTTTTTATCTAAATAAATTTCACAGTAAACGACAGTTCTTATCGTTTCTTTGTACGAGATACTGTACGATAGGGTTGAATTATATGTATACCTTCCCGTTGAAATCCCAGGAAAATCGCTGGCCATTGTTATCACTTTTATTTCCGTTTACGATTTCACGATACAACGAAGTGACTCCATCCAGTCCCGCGTGATAAAGTATAAACGACGAACGCTTTAAGAACAGTGCGACAGTGAAAATTTACCGTCCGACGTCGACGTGTGTGCGGATACTAACCGTAAGGATAGATCGTAAAAGCGAGAGCATGCGTTAGTTATTCTCGCCCGGCACGAAGTCTCCCTCTTTCTCTCTCTTTCTCTCTCTCTCTCTCTCCCTCTCTTTCTCTTGAGGTAATAACTTTGTTGTTTTCCTATAGAACACACGCCGACAACTTCCCACGTCGCCGATATAAAGCCACAAAGCGTAATCGAACGTCTTAATAACATTTAAAGCCGACAGCGGAGCAGTGTAAGTTGTTTGTCGAAGCATTAAAGTACCTCAAAATGACTAAATATTAATTTAGAGTGTTAACTTTCCACGAAACATATCGTAAATAAATTGTAAACAGATATTTTTTAATGATTATTTTACGATTATCGTCTTTGACGGTAGATCATAAATAATTTAAATAAATAAAATCCGTGAAAGGTAATATCTCTTTTTATCGCAAAGAGAAAATAATTTCTGTCAACTAAAATCTTTGTGCTGGAAAAAATAATTATACAATAAGCCAATTAAAATGTGTAATTCATTATTATCGTAATTACATTTAGCAACCCGTAAAATGTGATAACATATTCAATTATTTCTATAATCTGATTTTTGTAAAATAATTTTTATAATGATAATAGCTTTCTCTCTTGGTCAGAGCGGTTCAGAGAATACTTTTGCCTTACGGTAAAAAAATGCGTGCACGCTCCCCCGTTGCTAATTTTATTTTCGTACTGATCGATAACGTTTACGCGTCCAAGGTAGACAAAGGAGCAACCACAAAGATTGCGAGGTACAAGGTAGATTCATCACGCGCGTTGAAATTAAAGATAAAAGAGGGCCGGTATGCATCTCAAGTTATCTCACTGACGTTACGTATCTGGATTGAAGCGATGCGTCATCTCTTGGCGCACTGTTTAAGTCTGTCAACTAATGCTTCGATTGGTGAGACACCTAACTGAAGTTAAGCCTTCACTCGTGAAAATCAATAAGGACACTTTTCATCCGCTAATAATCGTATTAACTTCTCTTCTCATAAATTATTTCATGTTATAATATTATACGATATTATAATTTATATTATAATTTAATATTATATTAAGTATATTATATTATAATATCATATAATATTACAGAAATTATTGCGTATAAAAATAAAACAAGTGTCTTTGAAATTTCTTCTTACTGGCAAAAATAAACGTATAGAGATCATCGACTTAAAGCTGGAGTTTGACGACAGATCGCATGTCGGAGAATTCGAAAATTCGAAAATTCACGCGGGATTTAAAACTTTCATGTGATATGACAGAAATTGCAATTCATTGCAATATCCTACGAAAAGTGTGAATTTTGCGGGTCTCGATTTCCGATTCCAATTCGGTGATCCAGCGCTTGATTCAGAGTTTAAGGTTTGAATCTGAGAATCGTTCGAGCGTTAAAACAATCCGGATTCAAATTCACATTCTAATTTTATATCTCATCGCGTACTTATAGGATACTCATAAAATTTTACTCATATTACAAAAGAGGACGGTGTAAATAATAAATTCAACATATTTGTTCACTCTGTATATAAAGAATCGCATATTTTATTTCGCGCTTAAAACAATCTATTTATATTTACATAGTGCATATGTAAATATAATAATATTTATATAGACAAAAAATATAAAAATAGATTTTCACAAAGTGCCTAATATTATTACAATGTTATCACTAGTAAAACGGTTCGGACACAAAAACGCAGAAGTATTTTAATGTCTCCATCGATTATTACTTTTTAAAACAGGGGGTGCCATAAGAAGGCTCAGACAAGTTGGACTCCGTCGAGCGGTGTAATTAGCGGATTTCCGTTAAAAATCTTTCGTGGCTATAGGAGCGGAAAAGCTGCTCGTGGAGAACCCGTCTGTCTTTCGCCCCAGCCGATGTTCCTCGATCACGAAGCAAAACGGAAATGCATTATTGTCTGCCTTTTCTCGCTGCTTAGATGCAACACAGACGAGGGTCTCGGTCGCGCGACAATGCGCGCCGTGTTCCGGTGTGGAACACCGAGAGGACGTCCCTGCCTTCACGTTTTAATCCTTCGCGCTATCAATTCTCCTTCTCGAGAAGCCCGGGATTTCGCCAAGCGTGTAAATCATAAAACATTCATCAGGCTGGCGTGCCGTCACGCCGGCGAGGATGAGGTTTTGTTGTGCGGCAAAATGCACGCCGTTAGATCCTGTTCTCGCACTGATCCTTCGAACCAAGAGAGATAGAGAGAGAGAGAGAAATTTGCTTTTTGCTAGATCCTCTAACAATGATATATTAGATCCTGACGCGCTACTTAACAGATAAGTTCGCTTGAGAGATTTTAGTCCGAAAATTCGAATTGACAGCGTTTAAAGCAGTACCGTAATAATTAATAGTTGTAATTAATTAATATGTAATTATACCAAAATAAAATATCAGGAATAATTGCACTCGAAGGAGCAAGAGTATACAAGATTTACTCCTTACGTTTAAGTATAAGCTTACATAATAATCCTTGCAGATACATGTAATTATCGTCTGTCACTCGGTGTTATTCTACATACGAGCGTATAGTTAATGGCAATGGTCTCACAGAACTATGTCAAACAGGCAAGAGACAGTGTCAAATGCAATAATAAAACTTAAACTTTCACTCCGCGGTTCCACATCGGCGCACAGCTAACTAGAGGAAATGTACTTTTATCATTTCCGACGTACACATACTCACGCAAATGCACGCACGTGCACGCGTACACATGGCAAAAAAAATAATACTCCACTGCACTCGCTGTATATTTTTAGCCGCGAGCTCGCAGACAATGGAGGATGACAGGTGCTTTCAGGGAATTTAACGAGTACACGCCAGGAAAATTCCCACTGCGAATTAATGTCGCAGGGGCAGGGGAGGGAGAGAGAGAGAGAAAGAGGGAAAAAGAGGGAGTTTAATCGCGCAGGATTCCCGCGGGGTCCTACCAGGCGGCATGGGGGCCCTGGTACGCGGCTGTTTCACGGTCGTTCCCGCGCGCGCGAGGACTTGGACGAGGAAAAGGAGAAGGAGGCAGGCCTGACCGCCAGCAGCCATGACTGACAATGAGTCACGTAAGCTCCGTGAGTCACGGGTGCACGACGTACCACCTCTCGGGGGTCGAAGAATAGACGTCGTTAGATGGCACCGATCTGGGAGAGTGCTCGACGTGAGTGAGGCCGAGTGACGACGCGAGTGCCGTGAGGCCCCCCTATAGTGTATCCGCATAAAGGAGGCACTTTCGAAATATTTTAGTATTCCGTCGGAGATCGATTTTTAAAAAGATAAAGAAAAAATAGTGGAAATATATTTTGTTACAATAGTTCGTTCGCTCTAAAAAAAAAAAGGCCATCAAGATTAAGCTTGTTTCTTTTCAAAACTGAAGGAAATTCCAATTTAGATTGGAGTTCTCTCATGTCATTTGATTGTATATACTATCAATAAGACCCATAAGATTCTTACTGTCGTCATTCCTGTTCACTACTATTTCTTTGTAAAAAAAAGATCTTTAAAATTCGGAGTAATCAACCGGAGATTTTTTCCATTTACCGAAGAGTCGTCTGAAAAGTCCGAGTCTCCCATCGAAAAGCGGAGAGATGTAGCACCAGTAAAGAGCCTTATCGCGCACTTACGTACCCCTTATTCATCTCCTCAATTATTGACCGGCGATACGATACGTGAAAAATAGAACGCCTGGAGGATGAGTCATAAGAACGCAAGGGATTTCCAGTTCTTAAGTGTTGAGCATAACTTTTTCTTGCACGTAAATCGAAAATAAAGATACACAACAATATAACATCGCAGATAAAGTCGCCGAAGGATCGCTACTCATTTCTCTCTTATTTCTCTCTTTGCTTCAGTAATCTCTGCGGATTTATTCTCGTGCGAAGTGGGTGATAAAGATGATGCTTTAATATCTATTAAAGTGTTGAAAGTGTTGCGTACGTCAATGTTTTTCTCATAAAGATAGAAATATTATATATCTCGACGCGTATACAATCATGATTTATATTGCAGAAGAGAGGAATTTTTCTTTCGCGGGAATTAATTCTTTTTAAGAGCTTAATTAAATATCGTTTAAATATCTACAAATAAAATCTTAATTAAATATCTACAAACAGTAACACGCGCCCAAATGGAACAGAGAAGTTCGCGTATTACGAGACCCCAGGGCGCCGTCCCTTCCTATAGATTAAGATATTGGTAGCCGAAATATGAATACGATAGTCCTGGAGGGTTTCGTATAAAATATACTGTTCGTTCTCCGTTCGCCTCCTCACGCTTCCCGTGAATTACGTATCTCCGTTGGAGCGGCAAATCGCTTTACTTCTCTCTTTGCTCGCGCCGCGCCGCGCCGGACTATTCGCGATTTCATTTTTCTCCTTATCCGCTCGATATAAGCGCGGGGAAAGCCGTAGAACGCGTTTTGAGATACTCCAAGGCCTCGTCCGGCAGTTAAATGGGATCGACTTCGCCTCCATTCGTTTTATATCCTTGCCAGTCTGCTTGCCTACCTGCCGCCATCGCCACGTACCGCCCAACGCGTTTTGCCAACGTATAGTCTTCATCCGTGAAACCAGACGCTCCCTTTGGCTTTGTCTTCCGCACAGGCACGTGGAAAAGTCGAGGAAAAATCTGAGAAACAATTGTGCTTGGGAACGATCCGCGCGGAATCCGAAACCGAGACTAAATCTCTTTTTTAACGCTTGTAATTCGATAGCAGTATTTAATCGTAAAATCTTTCAAAGTTAATTTAAACTTTACGCTTTATATGAAAAAAGTAAATTAAAAGACAAACATCCAGTTTTGCCTGATTTATATCTTTCATAAATTTAAATTATAAATTAAAGAAACTGTGAGGAAATTGTAAATTAAAAAGTACTGTGAAAAAATTGAAATAAATATGTTCAATAAATACTTTAATTATTCTTATTAAAAATAGTTTAAAAATATCTCAAGCATGTACCTACTATATTAATTTTCTCCACAATATCATGGTATTATAATAACTTTCTAAATTTCACATTACTGAATCACATTTATGTGCTATCTATAAAATTACTTATTCGAATTTTTTAACATTTTTTAATACGTGTTTTATTATTTTAAAATAATTAATATTTTGATATTATTAAAATAATATGTTAAAGAAAATTTACGGACACATTTCATCGGAAAGATAGACAGTTTATCATATAATTTGTTATAAAACTTCTTCTGCTTTTTGTTGAATAACTGAGAGCTCGTGGCACTTGACGTTTGAAACTCGCAGCGTTTCTAGGAGCGCATATTCCGAGAGAATTATAAACGACTGGATGGCCAACCTTC